TAAACTTGCCTACAACAAGCAATTATTTATTGTGATATTGTCACAATACTGGGCTGCAATTTTTAATCATAATTTTAAGTTATTTAATTTAAAATATATGCTCTCCTCTTGAAATTAGTACTGTAGTGTCTTGCCCCTGTATAGCATACTTTTCTGTTAGCAATGGAGTTGTATCAGTCATCTATTAACTGCTTTCAGGAGAAAAATTTTGAATTGAAATAATGTGACTTCTGGTTTGCATAAAAAGTTTGTATATAGTTAATCAGGACCGCCTGCTCCAAAGGTTTCCGTATTTGGTCTAGGATTTCATCTATCTAACTCTGTTTTTGAGATTAACGAGGCAGACAGACGATAGTGGGAATCTATAGGTCTACAGTTTTTTTCAAATTGCAGCCCAATTGTTTGTAAAGTTATGAAAAAGTAAAAATCATTTCAATTAGAGATGGTTTTAATGTAAAATTTAAATGTGTCATGTACAGAATGTGACTTATGGAACAATAATAATATATTACATATTCTGATATGAAGATAATAATTTATAAAATTATGTCAAAACTGATTTTTAATATTGAAATATTTGAGATTCATGTAATGAGACACTTTCTAATGTATAGAAATATCAGTATTAAAGATTATGATTTATATCCAGTTATATTGATATTCATTAGTGTTCTTTTCAAGATAGTTTTAGCTAGTTATCAATCAGCTAAACATTCTTCCAATTAGTTAAAAATATATTTTATTTATTCATTGCTTTTTAAAGACAGCCAAATAAATATATATATTCAGCTATCTTTATATTAGAATATGTATATAAAAACTCAATATGAAACTCAATAGAATATGAAAGTATATATATGCTATTGAGTTTTGTAACATGTGCATTTTGTTGTCATTAACTACTATAGTTTATAAGGAAATTTGCAGTAGCAGCTAGCTAACATTAGACTACAGGTTGATCATTTAAATTTTTTTCCAGGGAGAAGGCTGTATTTAATTTTTATTCTCATAATAATGTAAAAAGTAATCTTTTTGTATGTTTAATATTATTAATTGTTCTGCAAATTAAAATGTTTTAGTGCAGCATTATTATAATAGTAATAATGTCTCAAAGTGCAGATTGAAATATTTTTATATTGATATTTTGATCATACTCTTTCATGAAATTAAAATTATCAATTAAACAGGTAAACTTGAATTTGAAAAAATTAATATACTCTAGTTATTGATGTAATTTGTTATATTACATCTTTCTATTCTACACAGAACTTTATAATAATGCTTTAATGTACAAAGTGCATTATATTTTTGTAATTTCAGTTTCATAACTGCAATTTAGCTATGGAATAAAAATATTCTATGGCAAATATAAAAATAATAATACAGTAAATTCTATATAATGGAAATGTTTTGGAGTAAAGTATTTACATTATAAAACAATCTTTGTTTAATAGAGACTTTACCTTAACATCCTTAAAAATGAAAATTTGATTGTTTCCTCATTTTATCTATAACATAGCCAACAACAAAATGCAAAATTACGATATAAAGAGATTAATTAAAAATGAGTAATCTATTGTTAATTACAGTAATTTTATTTACAAAGAAGAGTATTTTATTAAAGAAAATAAACTGTGTTGTACTTCGGCATAGACTAACACTTTAATGAATAGAGATTCTCTTATAGAGTGAAATAGTTGCGATTTCTATTTGCTTTGTTCTCACTTCTTAACTGTTTTCGTTTTAAGATTTCTTTCAGTTTCCTCAATTAGTTCTTGCAGTGTATTGGGTCAATGTTTCAAGCCTTCATGAATGAAAAAAATCTCTCTTTAAATGCAAGTAAAGAGCTAGAAAATGACTGAATTGGATTTTCTCCTTCTGTTCTTGCTCTTCTATTGTTACTTCAACATCATCATCTTTATGGCATTGTGAATTTTTGCTAAAACTATCTGAGCTTTTTTTTTTTCTTTCTTTCAGTTTTGATGATTTGATCAAAAGAATACAATCTTTGGCATTTGTTTGTTTCTGCTACTTCTAAAATGTTTTGAAGTTTCTGTTGGACGAAAGATTATTGTCTTCCTCAGTAATCAAAAAACTCGTTAATCCAACCATTTCAAAGAGTTTTAAAACAAGATTTTTCCACTTGCTAGAGTGATGCTATCAGTTTTTAAATAGCATTGAATACTGAATTCATTTTAGATGTTTCCTAAGTGTTATTCCAGTGCCACATTCAGCAGAAATTACCAAGATGCCTGAATTATTAACCATTGATAATGAGTTTAACAATATGTATAAGCCCATTTAAGGGATGCAAAATTGAGTTAGTTTTGCTTGGAAAAACACATCAATTTAATGTTTATAAATGTGATATTGAGGATGGCTTGTGGCATTTTCTAAAAACAAAAGATAATTTTTGTTTTCCTTTTGCATTTTCCTACTGAAAAGTTATGTAGCAAGATCTCTAATATTGTGACATTATTGTATCACTAACAACTTCTTTGTATTAATTTTTTGAAAACACCTGGGTGATTTTGATTTTCTTATGACCAATGGTTTCTTGAATTCTCTGTTCATATTCCAATGTAGAAAATATATGTATGTCTTTGGATATTTTTCCTCCAAAACAATTTTCTTGTCTTAGTGCAAGGAATTTACTTGGTAACATTTTGTAAAATAGTACTGTATAATTGCAGTTTATATTAGAAACAATTTTCTCCAGTTTTTCTTTTCAAGTTTTCACATTTTAGGTTGCAGTTAAATAATATACAAACCATGACATATCGTTTTTCTGTTCCCGAGGAAGGCCATTTAAACTGGCCAAAAACATTTGGAAAAGTGAATAAAAAGGCTGCATTTTTAAAGGTTTTTGTATCACATTTCAGGATTAACATTTCTAACTTCTCTATAAATTTGTAAAAAGAATCACATGGCTGATTTCTGAATTTTTCTAGTTATCCATTAAAAGTCTTGAAATCTCAAACCTTTGATATTCTTACTATAGTAATGAGTTTATAAAAGATTTTTTTGAGCCACTCATTGATGATGTCTCAGGCAATTTCACATTTTGCCCATAGGATAACCTACTGATCTGTGTGTGTGTATTTTCTTAATTATTTGTAATACATAAATTAATAATGTAGAACAATAACAATGATTAATAATTAAATAATAATTTATATTTAATTATAAGTACAGTACTTAATTTTGTACAGACTGTAAAATATAGTAACAATATTTAAAAGTAAAATAGAAAATTAGTTACAAATTAAGAATTTGTAAGTTATTTTAAATAAATATTATTTAAATTTATGTAAATTAGAACTTTAGTAACAAATAAATGTTAAAAATGACTACTCATATAATAATTAATAAATAAAAATGAAAGATAAGTGAAGAATTTAGAATTACAGTAGAGCATCGATTATCCAACTCAATTGGGGACTGGGGTTGGTCGGATAATTGAAAAGTCGGATAACCGAAAAGTGTGAAAAAATCCATTATTAGTGTAAGTACAGGTAACCCCCGTATAACACGGGAGTTACGTTCCAGAAAATTGCCGTGTTATACGAAACAAAGAACTAGTGCGAAAAGGGGGGATAGGTTCCAAAAATTTAAAAAAACATGCTGTTAAATCCTTATTTAAATCGAATTTAGTATTCATTGTTTTCATAGGTAAAATACTTATTTATTATTTAAATAAATATTTTACCAGAGGATTATTCATTTTATATGATGATCTCAGCATGAGCATCATCAACTGGTAACAGTTTCTGGGTGCGTTCGTTAATAGCAGTCGCTCTGCAACGGGAGTGCGCTGCTATTTGTAGGCATTTAGGAATGACAGTGAAAGAAAGATGGCGGCGCCCGCACTATCGATAGTATCATGTGAAGGAATCTATAATTCTAAAATGAGCTTTTAGAGGCAAAAGAAGGGTCCCAATTGTAAAATTTAATCATTAAATGATTTATTTGTTGAAAGAGCATTCAAAGCAGCCAAGAAAACAATTAGAATGCTTGCGTGGAGTTTTGTGGAGGTATAAAAGAACACACCCTTTATTACATTTTATGTTATACGAGGGTTTTACCCAATTCCCGAACTGTGTTAGAGTGAACCCGTGCTATAAAAGCACCGTGTTATACGGGGGATGTTCCCAATTCTTGAACCATGTTAGAGTGAATCCGTGCTATAGAAGTGCCGTGTTATATGGGGGATGTTCCCAATTCTCGAACCGTGTTAGAGTGAATCCGTGTTATACGGGGGTTACCTGTATATTAATATATCCCATGTAATTAGTGTAATAGTATATCGCTATTAACCTACTTTGTGTTGAATTCTCCTTTGTGTTAAGCCTAACAAAAAGTTTTTTAAATAATAATCGTCAGTATTGTATCATTAAAAATTATTTTAAAATTATTTTATTGCTCACAAAACAAACAACCACTCATAATTAAAAAATTAAGCCTCGTTTAAATACTTGCCTCCCTTTCATGGTCAATCCAGTGTTGCCAGCTAAAACATGTAAAAGTAGTATTAAAGTAGCCAAGACATAGCAAGATATTGTAGCGCCACATCACTAGTGGACGTTTGAATTTGCCGACTAGAACGCGGTCGGTTAACCAAGGTGACGGTTAATCGGAGGTCGGATAATCGATGCTCTACTGTAATTCAATTAATTCTGACTTTATTTCTCTGTGCAATTTTTTCTCCTGATTTTTATTCTAGATTTTCTCATAATTGGAGTTTTAAGTTGTGTTACTTTTAGAAAAAAGATTTGATAAGTAAAAGATAAAGAGAAAAAGATTTGATAAATAAATATAAATGGGTAACATTGACATACACTTAAATTAGTAATTTTTTTATTTTCATAATTATACATTATTATAAATTATTATTGATTATATTTAATAAAATTTTCTTCTATAACAGCAAAGAACATATGCTGTTACAAATTCTTCAATAATTTCTTCAAAATTAATTTGTCAAAAAAGTTTTCTTCCAGATACAATACAATAATGAAAATGTCAATTTGTATTTGAATCACTGTTTGAAGATTTTTCAGTTTCTTCAAGCAAGAAAACAAGCATTTAGGTGTGTAGTTTGTCATCATTAAAATTAGAAAAATGCCTAATTCAATTTCAATATTATAATACACATTGTACTGTATTTATAAGTTACTATGCATTCATACCAGTTAGTATGAGGAAAATTTTTCTGTATCTTTCAATTTAGTATACATGTAGGAATGAAATTGTTGAAGTTCTTCAAGTCCTCATATCTAAATCATCAGATGTGAAGTACTAATTTTTCAGATTCTTTTGTGTATTGTTCATTAGATAATTCAAATAATTCATTAAATTCAAATTGTTGAAGAAAAAAAAACTATTTAATTTTTTATACACTTCTGTTGAAAAAGTTCAAGCATATCAATTATAGCATAATAAGTAGTTATACAAAATTTACTTCTTCTATTAAAAAAATCTATTAAATGATATTTCTGGTGCACTCCATCATTCATTTTTTTTTTCATTGTGGTTTTGAACTACTCTATATTGATAATTAGCAAACAAACAAATTAATAATTAATATCAGGCAAAACACATATATGTTTTCAAATTTTCTAAAATAATCTCTTAAAGTACATAAATAGTTTACTACTGAGTTGTAGATATCTGCATGCTTTCAAATTTATTTTTTGGATCTTGAAAGCTTGATTTATCTGTTGAAAATTCTGCAATATTCATTTCACATAACAAACATTACAAATTATAAATCTACTGTCTTGTTGGCAATGTTTTATACTTCTTTTTGGTATCTTCTTTTTGTAATTGATGTTTATTTATACGTTTAAAGCATATCTTATCATTATGTAAGATTCTATTATTGCAAATATAAACATTTATTACCTGATTTTTGATTGAGGCCAAGCAATTATCAGATTATATTGAGTTATAATAGGGGAGGGTGGGGATGAAAGGGACAAAATTCATATTTTTATTTTTCACTGAAAAAGTTCACTTCTAATCAGTTTTATTTTTAGTGCAAAAGATTCATTAGACCTTTACTTTATTCTGACCATATTGTGAATTCATCCTATTATATTGGTAGTTGAACATTTTCATATTTTTAAAGACCTGTCCAGGTGTCCCTTTCATTCCCACATCTGGGTTGAAAGGGACACCCTCGGGGATGAAAGGGACTACCTGTGTTTTAATGTAAAACTTAGAATTAGTTATCTCAATGTTTTCAAATTTCATTATAACTGAAAAGTGATAGACTAGAGACTAAAATTTTTAAAAATTACAGTTTTAATAATATGAATCACAATTATTTTAAACAGTTAAAGATTATCAATATTTTTAAAACAAAGAATATCAAATCTTTTCAAACAAAGAATAATAACTAAAGAGTATCACAATCAGTAGGCTATCACATAATTAAACTGTCTTTCTTTGGTCAATAGAATGTTTTTCGCAATTTATCCCAGTTGATATGAGGTGAAATCGGTGGGAAATGTAATGTTTGCTTGCTCTTGCCGTTCCTCCTGCTTGGGATGGATGGGGTAGTTTTAAAACTATATTTTCCATGATGACATCACTGATATCATCCTCCTCAGGAAATATAAACTTGAAACATCCCAATATTTATTCATAAACTTGACTTTCAAGTCTTCATCACTCAGTTTCTTCAAAACTTTTCCCACAAAGTAAACAGAAGTTTTTTTGCAAATCTGACTAAAATGAAATCATTGGGCTGAACATGTTTGACAGTGTTTTTGATATCAGATCCCTCACTCGATGTTGCATCAGACGTTGAGGAAGAGCTGCTTTGAGATCTTTCATCTTCACTTTCAGTTTCTTCTGGAATATGTTGCAACAGCTGCTTTTTAGATTTTGTCCTCATTGATGATGCTTGCATTAAATACAATGTATCTCCTCTTCTGTAGTAAAAACTTTCCTGTTACCCACATGCAGTGAATACACTACATTGTCTTTTTTATATTTTGAAACGAGTTTAGCCAAATGCAATTTTGCATTTCCTTGGGCACTGGCTGTAGTCCTGATTGATGCTTCTTTTTCAACAACTTCAATTATTGCCCCTTGAATTACTTCTGGCGTCTCACGTTCTTTCTGTTTTTTTTTTTTTTAATACTTTCGAGGCAATTTTTTTCTATTAAAAAAATTTAGCATTAGAAACATGCCAAAAATGTCAATATGGGGTTGAAAGGGACATGTCCCATTCATTCCCTATTTTACTGTCCCTTTCAACCCCCAGGCCTCAAACAACCAAAGCTACAACTTAACTTTCTGACAGTGAAATAGAATTTAAAACTGATTAAATAAACACATTCTAGAGGTTTCAAAGTAATTATCCTGATTTAAGTACATTATCCAATGACTATGTTTGAGATTTTACCCCTAAATGTAAGAAATGAAAAAAACTTACTTTTGCATGCGTTTTCTGCTCATCCAGGCATTCCAAACACTTCTCACATTATAGTGATGCATAATGTGAGAAGGATGCATTTGTGATGGTTTGTTGAGGCACTGTGAGCACTAACTATTTTTGTTACTTATGCTAGTGTATGGAAGAAGAAGAAGGATTTCTTGAGTAGATTTAAGCAGAGAGAATATTATTTTGAGTATTTTTGTCTTGGTTAATAATATGATTCTTCTTTCAGTAATGGCTGTTGCTGTTTTTATTTTTGTCATGAAAGAAAAATCATTTCCAGGCAAAACTTGTGTTTTTGTTTCTTTTTATCCATGAAAAACCTTTTTTTACGAGTGTTATGTCACTATTAAATTCCACAAGTACTTTCGACCTCCACCGAGGTCTGCTTCAGGTGGTGACTGGCCTGGGAGATTCACAAAGCTATAATGGGGGGCAACTGCATCAACTACAGGGATGGGGAAACACTTGCACAGGCGTGGAAGTATTTATTCGAGGAGTTCGAGCAATGGCGGTCAGAGGGGTGAAACCCGACGCGCACAGTTATTTATTTACATCGTTGGCAACATTGTTATGACGGTCGGGTCGAAACACGGCCAGTCACCACCTGAAGCAGACCTCGGTGGAGGTCGAAAGTACTTGTGGAATTTAATAGTGACATAACACTCGTTACAAAGGTTTTTCGTGGGACACCACCTGAAGCAGACCTCGGTGGAGGTCGAAAGTACTTGTGGAATTTAATAGTGACATAACACTCGTAAAAAAAGGTTTTTCGTGGATTGTTAGTATTCAATGCAGTGTTAAGTTGTTGGAAGTCGTTTATCTTTTTATCCAGAAATAAAAACACAATTTGTTTTGTTGAAGGATCTAAAGCTTAGTGTTGTTTTGTTACAGACTTATCAAAATGTTTGAGATGACAGGAATAAACAAAACTTTATTTGGTATAAATTTTACAAAGATGCATTTTGAGTATCAAACCCCTCTTCAGTTTGATTCTTAGATTCACCTAATAATATAAATATACTAGGTTACAATATTGCTTAAGATTGTTTTACAAAAAGAAATTACTGCACAATTATATTTACATTTACCTGTGTTTTGTAGACATTTAGTTCTATTATTTAAAACATATTTGTATTTTTCTTAAACATAAATACATAAATTACAGTCTAAATACAGTTTTTGATTTACATGTTTATGAGAATATTTTCACTAATTTATTTAATAAACAACAAATAAGAACTCTTGGTAAGCTTTTTACAATAGGAGTTACATTATAAGCAATGATAGTTTTTCTTCATCATCATGTGTGTTTAACTTTGTTATGTTTTTGTCCTTCTTTTGAAGTGAGAGGAGGACAGCCATAAACAACCTATAGGGTGCACTGACATTATATAACTTGTTTGCAGATGTTTAGTTTTTAGTGTTTCTAGTGTTTAGATTCATTTACTGCATGAGGGAATTTTTTGTTTCAAGATGATCAAATATTTTGTTTTATATTGTTTTTTTCCATTTTTAAAATTTTTACTTTTTTAATAACAATTTCACATCCTATTTTTGAACACTATGTGAAAACAGAATGCAAAATCATTTTTATATGTTGTTTTATCATTTTCATAATTTTTGATAAACATAAAAATAGTTCAACTCAATCATATCACTATTTCTTCAGTCACTATCAGGTTATAAAGATGAAATTTAGACATTTTGAAAAAAACTTTATTGACGATTAACTCAATAATGATTACAGTTCAGTCTCAATCACATCTCATCACCTTTGCTGAAACTTTCAAACCTGTGAGCAGAGAATGATTGAGGTTTTTCTTTGAAGAAAATCTTGAACATTGTTCTCACATGGGTATTGTCATTGAACTGTATATTAGCAATATGGTTTCGTAGTGTATGAAATAGATGGTAGTCAGTTGGTGTCTATGCTGTAAGATGGATGAGACAAAATCTTTTAGTCTGGACTGGAGATTTTGCCTTACTGATTATCTTTAAGATTATCAGTCAGGCAAAACTTAAGATTATCTTTGCTCTGTGTTGCCTTATTATGAGGGTATCAGACTTTGTCAATTTTTGAGGACAATTTTTTTTTTTTGAGGACTCTGTCAATTTTATGGGAACACTTAAATTGTGCTAATTCTCTGTAATTAACCATGGATTATCATCTATAAGTTGCAGGAGAATGTCATCATTAATGGTGGAATCACTGCCTGGATAGGTTCATCTTGAAACAAGAAATCTCTGTTCTTAAATTTCTTGAACTAATTGTAGCAGGCCTGTCTGTTGACTGTGTCCTTGCCAAATGCTTTGCGGATGAGATCATGATCCTTCATTACATTGTGGCCAGTTTTGAAGTGATAGAGCAATAGCTTGTGAATGCATTCTTTGAAGTTTCATATTGTCAGACATTGTTGATCCATCTGTTTCCAATGAAATATGTGATGAAATGCTTTCTAGTTACTCTACCTATATACTTACATTGAATATTCTAGACATTTTTTTCCAGTCATTTCTAGAAAAAAAATGTAAATATCTAAATTTAACCTTTACAATCTGATAAATCTATCCAAAGCAAATTGAGACATTGATGGTTTAGAATTTAAATGTTGGCAAACAAAAACAATGTACTGATAATG